CCGCTTCCGCTCTTCCCGCTCTCGCCGGCGGAAGACCCCGGCGAGATTCCTTTGGCCGGCGACGGAGCCTTAGCCTTGGGAAGTACAAAGTCAAGCGGAACAAGCACTTTACTCACCTCATAAACGGCAAGTTTGTTGTCCGTGTACACGGTTCCGGTGACGGTGGCGTTAACGGCGCCGGTGGCCATGCTGACCCTGTTGCCTCCGTAAGTGGTGACGTTGAGTTGAAGCCTTAGGGAGTCATCGCCTGCTTGGGTCTGAACGGGGTTGGTGAGGGTGTCGAAGTTGGAGATGGAGATGAATGAAGAGAGAGTGTGGAACTGCAAAAGCTCCACCTTTTGTCTATCGTCGAGAGAGTTGAGGAATCCCGGTTTTAGGTTTGAGAAGGCGTTGTCTTCGGGAGCGAAAAGGGTTAGTCCTGAGGAAGATGAAGTGAAGAGTTGTGAGTTGAGTTGGTTGATGAGTTGTGTGGTCTTTAGCAAACGGATGAGGATGGAGAATCTCTTTGCTTTGGTGAGGATTTGGAGAATGTCAATGGTGGTGGTGGCGGCGATAGGAGCACCCGCGGGTGATGCGGGTACGAGGGGAGCCGTGTTCATTCCTTGCGGTGGTGATAGTGGAGACTGAACGGGGGACACCTTTTGAGCTGAAGCTGTGATAGAGAACAAGGTGATGACTAGTAATAAGATGGATTCTTTAGCCATCATTGTAGTGTTGAGAATGGAGATAAAGAAATATATACGCGCCTACTTGAGACTTGAGAGTGAGGAAAATGGTTTAAGGGGTTTTCTTTTTATATCCTACTTGGGAGGGAATCATAATTGATGATTATAGGTGGCAGTTCAGCTACAGTTAGAGAGGAAGGTGGTGTATTATAATTGATGGTTTAGAGGTCACAGAAATTATTTGAAGGTGGGGAGATGGAGAAGCCGAGAAGTGACATAGGATACGGAGCTATATATTTTGCTTTCGCAGTGTTACATCGCGAGTTGGCATCAGTAAGATGCATGTATATATGAAATGAAATTTGAAAGGTGGTGTATGTATGTATATAGGTTGAGTAATTGCATCAATAAGGAGGAAATGATGTTATCAAATTGTGTAACACAAGTTTAGTTTGGGTTGAGGAAATCATTAATTTGAATCCTATTCCTAGCTCTTGGAGACAGTGATGCCCGACATATGCTCACATTTTGTCGTTTATTAATTTTCTGTTATATCTAAAATAAACGGCTTCAAATTGGTATGTTCTTTCTCTCTTTGTTATTATTTGACGATAAGCAATTAATACTTTGTTTATCGCTATATGTCATTCATTTCTTGTTAAGTCAAAGCAACAGAGATTGATTTACCCTCCCCGGGCTAGCTCCTTTTATTGGTTGGATGCATGCGATGAAATGAGGGTATTCGCAAAAAGAGATAATAAGACAAGTTATATTTTATTTAGTTCTATATTTTTTTCTCAAATCAATTCCATGTATTCGAACATGAACTTAGACGCAAAAGAAATTTAATAACTTAAAAAAATTAATTAAAATCAAATTTAAATAACATGATATTGAATTAGTGCGTGTTTGGACTTACATATATTACGTGCGTATTTTACAAAAATCACATCAAGCACCGTAAATGACATCAATCTTTTGTTACTTTTAACTGAGGTGAAGAGAAAAAGGTCAACTTGTGTCGTTAATTAATTTCGAAGCACACGTGTAATCTACGATATAGGTTAAACAAGATTATAATTGGTTGAATTAGTCTAACTCGTCTAACCAATCAATTATTATATTTAATATTAATTAATGCATAAGAAAATTAACTTTGATATAATATATCCCACATGGCAAATATCCTATTTCATGTCGATCTAGTATATATAAAATTTAACAATACCTTTGACAAGAATTCTATCATATCTACCGTAAAATGTACCAATAATATATTCTTTTTCTTTTTAGAATATTCTCATTGGAAGATAATCCTGCTTACTTTTTCGAACAATAATCCTAAATATCTTTATAAGTAAAATTTTAAACATTGATTTGTCATGTAAAGACTAATTTCTTGAACCAAACCCTATCCCATCCGTAATATGTACCAATACGGTACCTCCATCACATCCTACGTGTCAAATGCCCGTAGTTGGCTATTGGCTTGGACCGTTCTTAGCATAAATTACTTCTTTAAAGTGACATTGATATGCTATATTCATTTTTCGGTTGAAAAACTATATATGTCAGACTTTCAACTAAAAGAAGTGGTGTGAAGATGGGCTTTAATTCACACTGCCCAATCATTTTATATTAGGCCAAGGGAAAAGTTATACAAATGAGGTCCAAAAAGAATGAACTTGGAATACAGTGAACTCACGCGATGCTGATATATGCCTCATGGATCAAGAACACTAATGAATATGCTTTTTTTTTCTGTTTTCTAAACATTTTGGAGTAACGTATTCAATAACTAATCAACACGCATCAAACTTCATAATTATGAATTTCGAAGCATGACACCCAACAAATTCAAGTTTTTAATTGTTAGGGACACAATTGTTTCTTGTTCAAAGTCAAAAGATCCAAGCTTCAAGGGATTCGATTTATTCCACGTAATTAGTTTTTTTGTTGTTAACCCTTTTTTCCCATGCATTAAAATAAGAAGAATAAGACTACGCAAGCATGCAAGTAAAAACGTAACATAAACTCGCTTATGTCAATAATAATAAATTGATCATAAAGAGGTCCAAAGAACGGATACAATTAATGCGGAATGCTCTAACAATCCATACCCCATGATAACACAACACCGGACTTTCAACATAGCACAATAGTTAGTTAACGTTGAATTCATTGGTATATATATTCAGACACATCAATCGTCCTATACAATTAAGTTTATGACTCCCACAAAGACAACTCCAAGAACAAGCGACGACACGCTGAATCTCACAGCGCCTGAGGTCTGAACAGGAACAACCTGCGACGACTCCGAGGAATCCTCCGACTGCAACGGCTTCTCCTTATCAGACGTAGGCGCCTTCGCCGCTTCGATCGACGGCGCCGGTGCCGGCGTTGCAGGTATCATCTTCTTGGTAGGGAAAAAGTGTTGAGGAAGAAGCACCTTTCCCACCTTATAGATGGCAAGATGCTTATCCGTGTATACGACCCCATTGATGCTGGTGTTAACTGGTCCGGTGGAGACGTTGACGACGCCCCCGTAACTGACGACGTTGAGTTCCACTTTCCCGGGCTTGTTCCCGGCGAGGGTTCTGACGGGGTTGGTGAGCGTGTCGAAGTTGGAGGCGGAGACGAAGTCGGGGAGCACGTGGAACTGAAGGAGTTCGAGTTTCTTGGCGTCGGAGAGGGTGTTGAGGAAGCCCGGTGGGAGTTCCGAGAAGGCGCCGTCGTCGGGTGCGAGGAGGGTTAAGCCGCCAGACTTGATGGTTATGAGTTGGGAGTTTAGTTGGTTGATTAGTTGTGTGCTTTTCATGAGGCGGAGGAACATGTCGAACGTGTTCGCTTGTTTAAGGATTCTCTCTATGTCGGGAGTGTTGTCGGGGGATGGATGGGGTTGTGTGGGGACCAAGGGTTTTGTTGGGGCGGCGGAGTGAGCCGGTGCGGTGGCCGGAGATGGGGCTGCTAGTACTGTGGTGGAGTGCAAGAGGGAAAGTAGTAGGGTTAGTGAGATGGGTAGGACTAAGAGAGATTGTTTTGTTGTCATTTTGGGTTAATTAATTAATGATAGGAGTTGTTTTTTGTTGCAATGAGTGTTGGAGAGATGAAAGGAGGGGTTTTATATATTGTGTGCGTAGTGTTGTTTGGTTTGGGATATTGAGGTGGTGTATCATTTGGGATGGATATGTGAATGTGATTGAGAGTGAGAGGCTGGGTTTATATATGAGATATGAGCAGAGTTGGATACGTGACTGTGTTGTGAGGTGCATGTGCTTTATGTGGGAAGGGGATTCAGGTGACAAGTCACTGAGATTGAAACTATGAACCATTTTTTTATTTCTTTAGTTTTGCTTTGGGAGGAGGGGAAAAACGAGTGAGAGCTCAATTTGATCTTGGCGAATAATTGCATGAGTTAGATGCATCATGCATGCTTCTATTTTTTTTTTTTGTCTATATTATTACTCACCTTAGAACTTTTTTTGCATTCTAGTTATCAAGCATTCTAATTGTACCCTTTCTAAATTCTTTAATTAAAATAAATCCATGAATTTATTAAGTTATTTTGATTTAACAAAATGCTTGGTAGTGGGATTTAACAAAAGACAAATCCTCCGGACATCTGTCCAAACTCCAGTTTTTTATTTTTTAAAGTTTCATATTTATCCAATGATTTTTAAACAAATGGATTTTACTAATTTTCCTATATAAAAAAAATCGTACTATATAACCTTGTAAATCTTGTAAGAGAATTGAACATAGTTGTGGTATATTCTGAAGGGGAAAAAAAAGAAAAAAGCATGATGACCATTATTAGGTCCTTTTCAACCCATTTCACATGATTTTTTTAATTGACTTATGTGATACTCTATTGACCCTTGCAGATTTATCTCGTTTCTGAAATGTTACAGTGGAAAACTACTTTTCAGAATGTTAAATTTATTATTCAGGAAAGAATTTGTTGGAATTATATAAAATAAATATTTATAAAAAGTATTTTGTGAAATGCTAATTTTAATATTTTAACAAATACTTAATAAAAATGTATTATCTATATAATTTTAAAAAATAATTTTGAAATAATAATTTTAGTGTTTTAAAAAGTATTTTTTAGAAATATATAAAAAATGTAATTACAAAAAATATTTTTCAAAATATCAATTTCACTATTCTTAAATGTATTTTCTGTAATATTAAAACTAATGTTTTTGAAAAGTATTTTCTAGACCACTAAATATAATTGTAATTTTTGGAAGTGTGAAAGGTGAGGGGGAAATACTCAAAGAAAAAGGTGCATGTTTAGTTCAACACTATCGAGAAATTCATACACACCTACAATATTATAACGCATCAGTTCTTTGTCCTGAATGCATGTGAAAATTGAAAGAGAAGAGAAAGAAGATAATAGTGTAAAAACTGAAAGGGGAAGGAACAAAAAAAGAGTTATATAAAAATCAAAAGAATTAAAGTTACCTATTGAAATAAGCGAGGAGTAGAGAAAGGAAAGATGAACGGGGTTGGT